TTGAAGATGTCCCTGCCCACGGCAGGGGGGTTGGACTAGATGATCTTCAATGGTCCCTTCCAACCCAAACCATTTTATGATTCTAAGAATTAACTCAAGCAAATGTCTTTATACTAGATTAATGTTATTTTGTGATCACAGACAAACTTGAACTCAGGCAAGAACCCCTGTTACCAGTTTCTTTTTAAAGAGAGGAACCCTTTTGGCTTCGCAGCTAAGGCCATTACACAGCTAAGGTCTTTAGAAAAGAGACTGGTTTTAACTAACCTTAAGTTTGGCATGAACTGGAGTGAAATATGGAAACGAACTGGATATCAAAGAACAATTATAACTGAAACTGTCACTGCCAGTACAAAACCTGCTATTTTGCTAGTGAAGTGAGTGAACTCCCAAATACAGCATTAGGGCTGACAAAGGCTATGTCTGTAAACTGGTCTCCAGCACTAATGACAAGGCTTTTCTTTCATTTTCATCCCATTAATCTTTTAAATATTACACTGAGATTCAACCTTTTAGCACACTGACAATGCTGCAAAATGTAAGTAATAAAATCTAGGTAACTCACTGTCTCAGAGTGAGAAGAACCTGCCAACTCATACAAAATCAGCATTTCAGAAGTGGAACATGAATTCCCATGCTACTTGCCTGGAATGAAAAGAAATCTCCATGGGCTATATGAAACGCGCACTCATCGTTTTTAAAACATAATACAAGAAAGCATCCAGCAGTACCGCAAAAACATTGAGGTGTAGTCAGGTAAAATGAGGGAAGCCCAGAAATAATCTTCTACATTTGTTTCAACTTTTAAAAGTCTTTCTTTAAAAAAAAAAAATTAAACTCTAGAAAGTTACCTGCAATTTTAATTCCTGTTCTTGAATACCCAACTATGTCTTTTTTATAGACTGAGGAAACAGCTGTACCGAACGTTCTCACTTATTTTATGTGTGCTGATAGCAGTAATTTCTGCCAATAAATTTGAGTTGGCTATACAGCACATCTATTCTTGTGAATTTTTTAAAGGCTCTTTTCATGTCCACTGGAAAAATTCTTTTTTAGGAATCTATGAAGTTAACAAAGTGAGATCCACTATCTCAAAGTAACAAAATAGATGGATTATCCTGATAATTGTTCTGTTCCCACTATTTGATTGCAAAGTATGCAAAACATCCTCTCTTAAAAAGTACACTGAGCAATTCAAATAGAAAAGAAATCATAATGAAAATCTGAAGTGAAATTTACTGCAGCAATGCTTTATTTCTGTCATTGCAGTAACTCTCTATTTATATGCCATTAAAACCTTCCTGGAATAAAAAAGCTTCGCAGTGGCTTCTGAGTACCTTTCAGTCATTTCTCTAACAGAGCTCATACAAATTCAAGCTAAAAATTTCCAAGTAGTCTAAATAAGGTGACTAGATCATTCTCACCTATTGTCACTGAGATCTTCTGAATATTGCATCTATACTACTGATTTTGACTTGGAGCTGTAAGTCCTCTGTTTTGCATCTTGAGTTGGCCACCATCTTAGGTTCAAATGAAGGAAGAATATTCGTAAGACAGGTGGTCAAATGTATACTGCTAATCCATGCCTAAAACCTAGTTTAGATATCCCTTGGTTTACAGTCTAGAGACAGGAGATATTAATAACACTTTTTCTGTAACTACCATGAACACACCTACTGGTTTACATAACAATAATCTGTTCTACTGGTCAATTATCTAGAGTTTTGGCATCTTAAAGTATTTTAGTTAAATTCCCTAATGAGTGAAGGTAAGTATGGTACCTCGCGTTTACCACGTCCATACCGTAGCACACGTATGGACAGCTTCTGCAGAGCTGACGTCACAGCAACATGTTCAAAGCAAATGTTACATATCTACATTTAGAAGAAATAAACTGTGCCCAGAAGAGCCAACTTCTCTCCATTCAGAACAAAGGGTGTCCAAATGACAAGGCAGGTGTAGATGTTGACAATGTGACATTTGAAGTTAGATGAGATGAATTCTGCCCAGAAATCCCACATATCATCTGCTTAAGTTACCTAACCTTAACTGTTACATGGTATGGATTTCATGTTCTCCCTGCAGTTTTGTACTCCCTGAACCCACCATAGGTAAATCCACAATCTCCCCCCCCATAAAAAGGCATATGCTAGCAAGCCAATTAATACTTCCTCCTCAAGTAATTAACACTTGCACCTGACAAAAATACTTTGGAGATACCTTACCTATTGCTCAGGAAGACATTTTTTTGTGACAGTTTCCACCACAATAACTAGTTTTTAAATCTGCAGCTTAGCACTGGTCCTCACTACTTGATTGTTCGGTGTCCTTCACTAAATTCTCTGCTTGTTATTCTTGCTATTCTCCACGGGAACTTTAGCCTTTTGGCCTTACTTTGGCCCTTCGTAGTCTTGTAACCTTTAGCTGTACCAAGAGACTGTGGTTGACATTAGCCAGTGTCAACAAGATTATATTTTTTTGAATAAAGATTGATGCCTCTACTTATAATGGTCTCTGCACACAGTTAAACCAAATATATGATGATGCCCACTTGCCAGCTTTTTATCTTTTTGATGTCAAAACATTTGTAGCTAGGAAAATGAGGGACAATAAGATTTTCAGTTATAGCAGGAAAAAACTGGAATTCCTATGTCTATAGTTCTGGTCTTCTCCACATTTCCTGTATTCCCCCTTCTATCCAAGAATGACATCGATACTTAAGGTAAGTCAGATTACACAAATCTCATTTACTTACAGATTTTAACAAACAAACAGGTTTATAAAAAATACAAACGTATTAGAATAACAAAACTAATACACATAAACTTTCACTTTATGGACTTCTTTGTCTTCGCATTCTCTTTTTTTATCATAATAATAGAATGTATTATCCCTTCTCTGAAGTTTCTTAACAAATCCAGTTTCTGGCCAACACTCTACCTAAGAAGAATAAAAAGAATATACATTCACCTGAACAGGCTCACATTGAATGATGTTTGTGCATTAGATTGGAAAGAATATCAGGTATACTTCCATGGGAAAACCTCATTTGCATGTGAACACTACTTTGCTACTTATTTGCTTAGCTTTTAAGAAAAGATTAAGAGCAAAATGTCAGAAACCAGTTTTCTGGTCCAGTATAAAGAATTTTGTGATCAGAAAAGTCTAGAAATTAGGATCTAAGAATATCTGACGACTAGAGTCATTTAAAAAGTGGACTAGTCAAAGCTTTTAAAATACGTTGTTTAGGGAAAAAACATTGATGCTACTCAGTACTCTCAGAGGCTAAAGGATTCCACTTCTGTAAGACTGACACACAGTTTCTTTGGGATCCTTCTGACCATGAAAAATGTGTGCATCATGCTTTTCATTAGCTATCTCATAAAAATAAAGCGAGCTACATGTATCATAGTCTCAAATACAGCAGGATCAGTCCTGCAGGAAACCAGCACCATCCTGGTGCTCTTCAGTGTTCCACAATGTGAAGCTTTAAACAAAAGGCTCGAGCACTTGTACGTTCAACAGCTTTATGGCTTTAGTAGCTATCTGCAGCTTGAACACCTATGACTACTTCTGATTAAATTGAACCTTAATAATCAGGTAATAAGAATCTTATTTCTCTTCCAGGCAGGGTTGACAATAGGATGTCGAACTACAGCATTCTCTAACCAGAGAGTCCCAGAAGTGGTAGCTTCATCACTTACCTTATTACTTTAGACACACAGCTGAGTTATTTGCTAAACGTAAGAGCCTTAATATTCATTCCACCTATATTATAATTGCATCATTAATAACTACTGCATTATGGAAACATAATATGGAATAAACAAGACATTTCAAAATGTGTAAATTGAAGGAGAACCACTGCCAGATCCTGGCAAGTTTGAACAGAATGCATGCTCATTTTATATTGAGTAAGTGGCGTTCTTTAACTTTTATCAGGGTTTAATTGTTTATGGTTATGCCCTGCCATAAATCTTAAACAGACAGTTCCTACCACACTAATTACAGGATTTCTTTTTGCACAGTTAAAGGAATTTACACCACAGCCTTTACAGTGTTATCCGAGCCCACAACAAAAGAATAAACTGCATCTTATTATGCACATCAACGTTTTGCTGTATTTTGAGCTAACTGGATGAGGAGTGACTTTCTTAGGAACATTCTGCACCATTAAGCGGCACCTCCATTTTTATTTAATCATCTAACATGAGACAGAAGTTTAAAGTAATAACCTTTGCAGAGCTCTAAATCTTACCATATCAACTTGTTTTACTTGTTTATATTCAACCTCATCTCTGTATCCTGCTTGCTGAAATCTGTATAAGTTCTCTACATCATCTGACCATTTTTTGGCATGATGTATAGATTTTGGTTTGATGTCAGCTTTAGCCATGACTCCAGAAACTTCAGGCTTTTTCCTGAAATTAGATTTTTAAAAATTAAATAGAGAAGACGGAAGCAAGCGATTTTGTTAGGGACATATAGAAATAGGTAGAACAAAATTTTAAAATAAAGGAATTACAGACAGTACAATATTATCTGCCCCTCAAAGTCTGAGGTTAAAAAAGAAAAACGTTATAAGCAGTTGGAATCAAATTAAATGCACTACTTGATCTCAAACAAACCCAAATTATCTACACTTCTATATACACCTTGACACTTCTACACCTCGACTTAACCTACCTAACATTTATTTGTGCATATTGATACATTAAAAAATATATAAAATACAGTATTTTTTTTTAATTTCACATCTTTGCAGTTGCCATCCCTTTGGGGCAGGCAGTTTTTCAGGTTTTTCTTTCTTCCTACTGAAGGGACACTGAACTGGGAACCACAAAACGGAGAGCTGGGCTGTTACTGAAGAACAGCAAACACTCGGGATGGGAGGGGAGGGGAAAGGAGAAATGCACAGTCACGTGGCCACAGTGGAGATGACAAAGAAGAGGTCTTAAGAAATAAATTGGACAAGGAGGCAAGGCACACAACCTACCAAAATTCATCCTATTCTACCCTTGCCCCATCAAAATCTGCACTGACTGCCACTGACTTCCTCCTCACACAAAACCCATTTGTTCAATCTGCTGAGAAATAGTAAATAGGTTAATCAACTGCTACGCCTGCACAGAGCAGAACTGGGATAAGATGAAATTCAAACTGGGAAAAAAAAAAAGAATAAAATGACCAATTAAAAAAAAAATTGTGGAGTCAATAGAAACTCGCCAGGCGGGGATCTGAACTATATTTCAAAAAAATATGAATCATTTGACTTCTACCTTATATCTGAATTTCATTGCATTTGCTTTCCTGAGTGTATCTTATTCTGCTACTAAAATAGAACTTTATGCTGCCTCTGCAAGCAAAATACACAGAACACTATCATGCCTAGTAGATATGATCAGAAATGAGTCCTTTCCTAGTTTTGTAATGTCACCAAGCTTCAGCTTCATAATTAGGAACGTATCTTCAAAGAAAGAGAAAAAGCATCTAGATTTAGTAGTGAGAGGATGAACACAGTCTCACTCCCTGGGGGTAGTGTGCTGCCTCCAAATCCTGCGCACAGAGTAAAATTTCCTTACTTAGCAAGTTCCTATATCAACCGACAGCTTGAAAAGTTGAATGCTGATGTCTTACCAAATGCACAAATGCCCATAAGTCTGTTAGAAAGGCAGAAAAGGACAAAAAAAAAATATCGCACCACAGCATACAGATCTTTGGGAAAATGATATCAAGAATTATTGTTATCATAATGTGGAAATAGCAGAAGTCTGCATTTCTGTCATCTAACTGTATGAGAGCCATTAGCACACAAAGAAAGGGCCTTTCATCTCTTACTGCATACACCTTATTAAAGATCAATAAAAATATGCACAAGGGCTCTCTTCTGGCACAGTTCAGCACTCCAAACATTCTTTTACCAGGCTCTGCAGCATTTTGTAATTGAAGGCAGCCATTCGCTAAAAAAAAAAAAAAAAAAAAAGGGTGTCAGTAGTTTTGTTTTAAATCTGTTGCTTCAAGATGATGTGATATGATAGGTAAGTACTTTGAGACTGTGTATTGCATACTGCCCCTCTGGGGGTAGTAATATCACTTGTTATTCTCTGTAGATTTACAATTCGATACCTCCCTTAAAACAAATGATTTATTTAAAAAAAAAAAAAAAAAAAAAGGTGGTTTTCCCACCCAGTTGTGAGGTGGCACATACAAATTAACATGCTGAGCATATATCCTTATTATAAACCTTTAGTGTAGTCTTTGAGATATCTAGCTCAACATAATTTTTTCCTCCTTTGCTGCAAAGGACCCTTTTGTAGCCATTACAGGATTTTTCATACACTGTATGCTCACCTATGTTTGACAAGAACTGTTGTCAATCTGAGACTTTAGACAGTCAATATTATTATCAATAACATTAGATCTTAATAAATGCTAAACTATAATGAATTTAAGTGTCTTATGATAACTTACATGTTACTAGTGTTAAGTACTTCTTTATAGGATGTACTGAATTCATCTAATGAATGTGCTTCTTCAAGACATCTAGATATGCGTGGCACTTCCTGAGTCACCATTAATTCAGATGGCCTGCCCACAGGCGTTCCTGCTCAAAAAATACGTACAAAGGTCATATGTTTAAAGTGCCGGCTTGGTGACTTCAAATAATAAAAGCGCCATCCTGATATTTTTAGGCTGCTATTTAAGCCCTTTAAACATTGTACTCTTTGTCTATTGTAGTGCCTCTGAGTTCCAGGCATAGAGCTGGTTTCATTGCACAAGAGCACGAGATGAGCTGTACTCCAGACAGCCTACAATTCAGGGAAAAGACAAAAGACAGCAGACAGATATAGGCAAATGAAAGAATGCAAGAGAATGGTAAGCAAATATTAAGCATAATACTAACACTTTTTATTTAAAGGGAATTGTTGAACAGTAAAGTGGACTTTGCTAAGACGACAATGTTTGCCTGCTCTTAATTTAGGGGAAATAGTGAGATTTCATATACCTCTGTTTTGGCTTTGGGAAAACAATTTTTAATGTCAATCACAGCACAGCTTCTATGGAATCCTAACCAGCCTGCGCTTGCATATGCTAGTTTCCTTAATGCTTATACAAGTTGTAAAGGTATGTGGAAGGAGAGTGTCTGCTCCTTTAAGGGCATCTGGTCAAGGACCTTTTCCAGTGCAACAAGGGATAAGAAGGGGAGGAAGCCATAAAACAAGAGTATATGGGGACACAAACCCGACCAGCAAATGATAAGGGAGGCAGTGATTAGAACCAAACTGGGTCAGTCACATTAATTAACGAGGGCATGTGGGAGTGTGAGAATGTTTATTCCAGCAAGGTTATCTGATCTGGGACCTTGTCAGTTGAGAAACTAAGGGAAAAAGGGGAAACCAGAAACAAAATATACAGAGACACAGACCTGACAAAACAAACATAGAGTCCATGACAAGAAACAAACCTCACACTCATGCTAATTGATGGGCTATTAAGAAACTACAGGCGCCACTTCCAGGAAGATCAACCTGGACTTTGCAACTGATAAGATTGTAAACCAGGGGGACCCCAGACTTGGAGGGGTGCAGGAATGGATAGAGCTGTACAAACCCTTGAGGGATGTGCAGGGGAAGGGGAGTGGGGAGGAACAAAGACAGAAATAGAAAGGAGGATAAAAGAGGCCGGTTGTGTGTAAACCAGGGCTAGTCAGTACGCTTGCCTGGCTGAGCCCTGCGCCTGATCATCAGTCTGTCCTACCTTCTTGTATCTACTTATTAAATCTTAACTCTCTCTCTGTGTAATCTCACTTTCTAACCTGCGTGTATGCGTGCTGCAAGGACTAAGTACCAGCTACTGGTGAGATCTGTGGAAGAGAAAACTGGTGCCAGCTCCTAGATGTGGGCTTCCTGCAGCTTGTGGTGTCAGCTGCTGGAGTGAGCAGGGATCCCAGCATCAGTAGTTGGAGGGGTCTTAGCTCTCTGGATCTAGGGAGGGTCCTACAGACTTTGTGCCCGGAGCGCCAGCTACTGGGAGGACTGGCATGAGTGGATTTGGTGCCAGCTACTGGAGTCAGACCAGGGGTATGGGCACCCCTGGTCTGTGGTGTCAGCTACGGGACTAGCTGGCGAATAGGGGGAGCTCGGGTCCAGGCCAGGGTATCAAGTAGGCAGGGGGGTCCATGCTAGTACACCCAAGGGGACTTATGAACACAGAGTGCATGAGAGATGAGTGTGTGAATGCACATTTCCTAGCAAGCATCAAGTTGGACTAGTGGGCAAGTAGGGGATCCATGAAGCAGGTAAGGGGGCTTGGGATCTGTGCAGGGGTGCTGGGCAGACAGAGGTGCCATGCTGTACTCGAGGAATCTGCAAATGTGTGTGTGCTTGTGAACCTAGAGAGTGGTGCATGTGTGCCTGCACTAGTGAACTTTTATTGCTACCAGCCAAAGAGGAAGAAAGGGACTTGTCTGCATTTATGTTTTATGCAAGTCCTGTATGTAGGTGCTGTTGAAGGCAACACCTCATCTCTGGCAGCCTGTGTGACCAGCCATGTCTGTAATACACGCTCAGCTTTGTTACTGGTTGAGCCTGCAAAGGGGAAAGCAGCAGCTGCATCCCTCAGCCCGGGCAGAGGGCCCCGGGGCAGCAGAGGTACTGGGCCAGAGCTGCTGGAGGAGATGGCTGCACCTCTTCGATCACTCAACACGAATCAGCATTCACAGGACCTATTTGGGGTCCTAGAAAAGTCAATAAGAGATTTCCAATGACTTCAACAGACTTTACATGAGAGCTTCTTGTATTGCAGGAGCAGGCTGTTCCCGTACACCGTAAGAAGAATGGGCGGGGAAGACGACTGGCCTGGCTGAACGGGGAGCTCTTGCTGGGACTCAGGAAAAAA